GGGGCTTGGCTTGTGCCCCCCCCCCTCCTGCCAGTCTTCCCTGGAGCCCTCATGGCAGCTGCTACCACCCCCTTCCATGAGCAGGAATTACGGGGGCTGTCCATAGACACCCATTCCTGCCTCATTCCTAGCCCCGCTGCTTAGGCAAGGCACTTACTGCCTGCGGTCTGAGCTAGAAAGCTGCTTAGGGAGGTGTGTCCTTGGGCGAGACTGGAACCTCTGAGCCTCAGCCCTCTCCTCTGGAAAGTCCGCCTGGCGGGAGGACTCCCTGGGTTAATGTGCTGCCTGCACTTAGAACCATACCTGTACAGTCAGTGTTGCAGGGAAGGGTCCTCTGCCGAGGTCAGAGCTGGACAGTGGCAGAGGCGAAATTTGGGCCCAAGGCTCCTGGTCTCAGGCCTGCCCTGTGCTCATGCAAGGACCAGATTCTTCCCACGCGGGAGACGCCGTACAGGACACTTGACAAGGCGTCCTATTCAGTCTTCGCAATTCTGCCAAGCAGGCGTTACTATTCCCATTTTACAGATGTGAAACTGAGGCTCAGTCCAAAGATTCCTGTGTGTATGTCAGTCTCCACCTGAGCCCCTCGGCTGAGCCCTTCTCACCCCCGCTGCAGAGTGCGGTCATCCTCCGCAGACACAGCTGGCCACGCTCCTGCCCAGCACCCCAGCACAATACCTGACGCACTGCCACGTGCTCAGTCACTACTCCTGGCATCAGTGGTTTCTGTGGACAGTGGAGGGAGCAGGGACTGCCCCCCAGGTCATGAAAATGGGGGTGTCCTGAGAACCGAATTGTACGTGAATGCAACGTGGGCCAGAACAGGTTGAAAGTCATCTTAAGAGGAGGGTGTGGATGCTGAAAGACCAGACCCTGGAGGGGTGACATTAGGCCAGGGCGATGGGCCTCCGTGGGAGCAGTACCTAGCTGTGGCCGTTCAGAAAGTCCGGGGGAGGTACCCTGGTCCGCGGGGAGGCACGTCCAGGCCCAGGAGCACACTCTCACAGGAAATGGATGCATTCTTCCTGGCCCCCTCGGTCCCCTCCTTCCTCCCACAGCTTTCAGAGTCTTAGAGGTCCTTGGACTAAGTCCCAGCATAGCAGGGACACCTGCTGAAGTTTGAATATGGCCCCCCATACATGTATTGAGCCATTGTAACGGGAGTAAGAGATTCCGGTGTCAAATGCTGGGCCTCCGGGATAGACAGGGATTAAGGTCAGCAGGGTGGGGCCCCCGATTGAGTTCTGGAGGGTTTATATGGAGAGGGTTCGAGGCAGAGCAGAGACTCTGATGGACAGAGAGGCCCTGCTTTGCTCTTGCTCCCCTAAGGTAATCAGGACTCTCCGAGACCCCACCAGGACTGGCCTCTGGACCTTCAGCCTGTCCAACCCTAGTGAACATTTCCATTCTACTTTCAGGGCCTGCAAGATTGAGGCGTAGCCATTGCAAGGGGGCCCCTACTCTGTAATGCCTGCAATGGCCTGCAGGGGGCCACCTGCCGAGTCCAGCTGCCTCACACACAGCTACAGAGCCCTGCTGCCCTCCGGGACTGTGCCAGGTCCTCCGAGATGCTACCCTCTTTCCTCACCTGACTCTAGCTCAGGAGAGCTTTGAATGCCTCGGCAAAGAGGAGAGCTCAAGACCTAGACCCTGGGGCTCCAGGTTCGGGCTCTGGCTCAGAACGGAGCTGCCGAGCGCCTCTGAGCAGGGGCCTGTGCACCCAAGTCTCCCGCTCCTCAGCTGTGCGGCCACTGGGCCCAGGGGACATCTGAGCCTCTGACAGCTGTCGGGGAAGGGAGGGAGGCATCTACACTGTGGAGCAGGGTATCTGCCCCAGGTGGGGAAGGGTGGAGAGAGAGGCTCAGACCAGCGGAAGTCACCCGAGCAAGGAGGCCCACACAGCCCGGCTGCGTTTACCGGGGGGCTGCTATTAGCCCTCGCACCGTAAGGAGTCGAGCTCGCCTGCTGGGAGCTTGGCTGGCTTGTCCCCAGGGACGTAAGCCGTGTGTAGGCTGCATGTCTATACGGGACAGGCATGGCTTAGGCACCCTTGGGTGCCTGAGGGTCTGCCCTTCAGGACCCGAGGTCACCGCCTTGGTGGCCTTATGACCTTGAGCAAGTCTAACGTCTCCAGCCTCAGTCTCCTCTTTCGCTGACTATTAAGAGAGGAGATCCTCATTCTTCGGTTAATTATTCCATTCATTCAACAAACATCCCCTGAGCAGCTTCTGGGTGCCCACACTGAGCAGAGGGCCGTGGAGCAGCCCTGGTCCCAACAAAGATGTCAGGAAGACTCCCCTGACGGTGCAGGGAAATCCCTGGGACACGCCGCAGTACACGTGCACATGCAATGGAGGACGGGGGAGGGTGTGGCTGGCTCTGTGGTCTGCGGGACTAGGAGCAGGCTGCTGGGCAAGGCCACGCCTGAACTGTGCCCTGAGGATGGCCAGGAGGCTCCTGGTGAATGAAGCCTCCCACCAGAGGAAGCCGCAGGGCGAGGGTCCAGAGGCAGGCATGAGGCTGCACAACCCCGAACTGAAGTCGTGGCTGGGTCTGTACCCTGCGCCAGCATAAGGATTGCCAGGTGCACCTTCCCGAGCCACCCCAGAGCACAGGCGCTGGCCAGAGGAAGAGCCGGGGAATGCCATGGGCAGGGTCAGTGGACGGGTTCGAGGAGAGGGGGCAGCTCAGGTCAGGCAGCTGTATGCAGGGGTGTGTGCCCACAACCCATGGGAATCTACCTCTGGGACTCCAGGAGCCAGGAAGGTGGCCGTGTACTCAGCCAGTGCCACGTCGTTCACCATCCTCTGAGCCTGCTCCGAGAGCGGGAGATTCACCGGCCCGTGTCTCTGCAGCTCCTGCAGCAGGCGAGTGATCAGGCGGTTCCGGTCCCAGCACTTCTGGACCAGGGAAGCCAGCTTGGCCTGGAAGGGTGGGAGTCCATGAATGTAGGGCTTCTATGGAAGCAGGCCGGTGGAAGGGTCTGCGGAGGCTCCTTGCTCTCTGTCCCCAGCTGTGCCTTAGCTCTGTGACAGCCGTCCCTTCCCTGCAATGCCCCTTCCACTGGGAAGCCACGGGCTGCTTTGAAAATAGAGGACTGCAAATTCCCAGGGGCTCCACTAGCCTCCCAGTGGGGTGCAGGCTCAGAGCTCCAGGACGAGGTCAAGAGCTTGGACTCTGTGACCTCCCCTGCACACCTTGCCTTGCCCACCTGTGCAGTGGGGGTTGTCTGGAGCACCAGGATGAAAGGAGGCGGGGTGGGCACAGCACCCACAGCGCTGCACTTTCAGTCCCACACGCAGAAAGCACGGCGCAGTCTGCAGGGACTGGGACTCACAGAGACCGAACGATGACAAGAGGGGGAGGAGGAAAAGCTCACAGCTCACAGCTCACTCTCCACTTTCCCATGCATGGCATCTGCAGTCTCA